AGGAGCAACATCAGTCTTGTAGTCCAGATTTTTTTCAATATAGAGGTTACTTTTGTAGTTTTTTTTGAAGGGACTGCTTCTAACTACCTGTGGATCCTTGCTCTTTTAGTCGAGATATAGGAGAAGTACTATGGCACCCTTTTGGTCAAGGGATAAAACGGGCAGCATGACGCGCTTTTCATCAAGGATTATAAGCTTGAAACTACACCTCATCATTTTTGAAAAAGTATTTCAAGCGACACTTTCAGCTGGATCAGCTACGCGTCGAGTACCAAGTTCCAGTGTTTACGATGGCTTCTATATTTATAGAAACTCCAGGCGATTTGTCCCACCCAACGCAGCTCATCCTGATGAACAACATGGTGGATGACTTTGAAAAACTTCACGGCAGCTGGGGTCCAGTTGGCACCATGTATTTCGTTCGCGATTTCGTAACATTCGAAAACTATTTGCAGTGTATGTCTCTTCATGCCTGTACATGATACCCAATGGCTATCAGTAAAATTGGTTATTAAATCAAGTACGGTGCATTAAATTCTGCTTTGTGCTATTTTTTAGCAGACTCGAATGACTACGATTACGATCCAGCTGATGGCACCACTACGCTTTCGGCTATCGACGCTCTGAAATTCAAAAATGAAGACTTACCATCATTTTTGGTGTGGCCAGAATATGATTTTTGGAGCGGCTTTATCAGACTAAAAAACGCTACTCCGGATGGAAAGTAATTTCTTTGATTTTTTTGTTGTGTTCTGGGCTTCCGGTCAATGGAATTAGCCAACAGTGTCGAAGAATGGTTTCCTTCTTTGCAACAGCCTCATTCACAAAAACTTGCAGCAGCTCTTTCAGTGCGTATTAACGTTATCAAGCACTTAGAATAATAGGAGCTTTAATCCATAACCTCATTGCCCAATCGTGCCGCAGGCAATTTTTTTCATTTGTTTTGACCAATGCTGCATGGCCTGCTGGTGATTCTGACATTTGTTTCATCTCCTGAGAAGATTCGCTAACTCAGCAGCATCTGATTTATGAATGATTATATCTTGTCTGATTATCAATTTCCTAATTATAAGATTCTTAAAAATCGATAACTTTGGTGATTAAATTTCAAAGAAGCGTTTTTACAATATAAAGAAAAATCACTCTACTGATTCAGAGTTGCCCCTATTCTGGAAAAATTCTAGCTGTAGCCTCTTTTAGACAGATTTTCGTCAAACGCGCTTTAGTCCTTTGCAACTAATAGACACGCCTGACAGTGCGTTGATGTAGGCTTACTGATCCACACAGACATATATGCTGTTAATAATCCCTGTAATAAACGTAATTAATGGTGCTTTGCGAGAACCGTGGATTATTTACACAGGAAAAAGCTTTCTTTAAGTTTTAACTCCAAGCCTAATTTTCTGATTTCAACACAACCCATTACCGGATAATATCATTAAAAAAAAACATCTGACAGGTATACCATACCATGAAAATTTCGTTCTTTACCGACTCTATTTCTTGTAACTTTCCCTCAATTATAAATGAAAAACAGTGCCAATATCATACTCTGCATAAAGCAATGATTGATAATCGTAAATGCTTGTGCCGATTTCTCATTCACATTTGATAGTGAATGATTTCAGACAAAAGACTCTCGAGAAATTTTTCTTCACAACAGGATATCACGACGAAGACTTGAAAATTTGGCCTGTGCGTGGCCGACTGCTCAAGAAATGGCGTGCTATTGTCGATAAACCTTCATAGTAAGTGAATTTGTTTCTTTCAGTCGCGAACTCGAAGTGTGAATGCTACAAACGCAAGATGAAGCTAAATGGAGAAGTTGCAGCTTTATTGTCAGAGATTTAGGTCGTGAATTAACAGCTGTTCCTAGTACCTTTATTTTTCCTCACAAACCACTTTCTCCAGCTGCAGCGTACAAAAAAAAAAACAGAACGCTTACTTTTTCGCCTCTGTCTACGCGCCTAAATATTTTCGTGATTTCAGCGCGACATTTCATGCGACAGTCTTTCATGAAGACGGTATATTCCTAGACTTAATTGATAATATGCCTACGGATACGTGGCAGTCTGTACTGGGTACACTGGTATGTATGGCCGCCGTGTGTTTCGTTTTTCTACGCAGTTTGCTTACAGTGGCTATTGCTACTACGTGTGTTCTTTCGATATGTGTCGGTCAGTCAATTACTTTATTTGTGCCCGGCACAGGGTCTTTAGCTTGAGTCCAACGATCTTCCACATTAATAGTGGGCTAGCAGAAGACTGACCTGTTCTAATTTTTAAAGTGGAGTAAAGCCGAAAATCGAAATCCTTCCATATTTTGTAATGTATGAAAGGCGGAAGCATTCGAAAGTAGTCCGAGCGGTAGCACAGTGACTAATAGTGACCAGTCGCTGGCAAAGCCGTTGATAGTTCCCTTTTCCAAATGATGCTTAAAGACAAACTGATGTCGGTTTGAAAAGAAGGCGAGGCAAAATGTCAACTTATTTTGCTTCATTTTTGACAGAAAAACAAGACACAAACATTATGCTGAAGTTTTCATCCGCAAGTGAAGTTACATCCTACACTAAAGATGAAGTCAAGGCCATGCTTCGCACCATTCTTGA